TATTTACTTAGGTCCATCCATGTTGTCATAAATGGAAGATTTCATTCTTTTTTATGGCTGAGAAATATTCCCTTGTGTACACACACACACACACACACACACACACACACAAGGGAATATTTCTCAGCCATAAAAAAGAATGAAATCTTCCATTTATGACAACATGGATGGACCTAAGTAAATACACCAGACAAAGAAGGTTGGATACCATATCACACACACACACACACCGCATCTTCTTTATCTTAGCATAACAGTGAGAGGAAAAAGAAATAAAAGACATCCAAACTGGTAAGGAAGAATTAAAACTGTCTACAGATGACATGACACTCTATATAGAAAACTATACAGATTCCACCAAAAAACGATTTGATCTAATAAATTCAGTAAAACTACAGGATACAAAATCAACATAGAGAAATCTGTTGCATTTCTGTACACTACTAATGAAATAGCAGAAAGGGAAATAAATCAAACAATCCCATTTATAGTTGTATCAAAGCAAATAAAACACCCAGAAATAAATTTAACTAAAGACCTGTAAACTGAAAACTGTAAGTCATTGATGGAAGAAATCAGAGGTGACACAATAAATGCAAAGATATACCATGCTCATGGATCAGGAAAATTAGTATCGTTAAAATGTCCATAATACCCAAAACAATGTAATTCTATCAAAATACCAATAGTGTTTTTCACAGAACTAGAACAAAACATCCTAAAATTTGTATGGAATCACAGAAGACCCTGAATAGCCAAAGGACAATTTAAAAATCCTTATTTTTTTCTCTTGCCCTTTATCTCTGCTTCTTTCCTAAGCTTGTTTGTGCTTGAGCCCTCCCTCCCTCACTGGCACAGGCTGGCACTGTCTGTCTGTCTCTCTTTCACACACACACACACACACACACACACACACACACACACACACACACTCCTTCTGTGCATGGACAAGCACACCTTAGGAAGGCATGAAGGGGAAATAAAAGCATGTATCCTTCAAAACAAACATCTAAGTTTGGGCTGCACATTACTGCAATTTCTTGGGCCAACTGCTTCATCCAGGCAAAGCTCCCGTCCATGTCAACGCGATTTATCAACTTTGGCCATGTGGACAATTTTCATAGATGTGCATTCAAGAAGCTCTCGCTATTCCTCCTTCCACTTCTCTCCTCCGGGACTTTCTCTCCTCTGTTTCCACCCCCGCCCCCCACAAGCCATTCACTTCCATTGTTGAGGGACCTTGAAGAGAAGCCTGTGACACAGGGAACTCTGCTCTCCTACTCTGCTGACAAGAGGACCAGCAAAATAATAAGGGTGCCAGCTGAGCAAAGAAACTGGATGAACTCCCCGACTCTGTACCAAACTCGTCCCGGGATAAGACTGCACTCTACCACACACTCTGGCAGGGCGCCGGGCGCTATGGGGGGAGGCGAGGCTCCCGGGTCCAGCCTGTCACAGCTGACTGCGTGAGGGAGAGCAGTGTGCTGCCAGAAACGCATGGTGTGGGGGACGCGTGGCCAAGAGGATGGCGAGGCATCAGCTCCTCACACTGGGGACCCACAGGGCCCGGAGAGCACATGAGCCTCCTCTCCCACGCAGGGTGACAAGGAGCTGTGGCTTCTGCCCCTGGCATCACGGCAAGCCTGGGAGCAGTGTCTGGAGGGCATGGCGCCCACTGCTCCCGAGGTGGGCGGACACGGGCAGCAGCACCTGGCACAGGCCTGGCACGGTCTCCTCACAGCTCCCTGGCACTTTACATAGTTGGCAGTTGGTCCGGACAGCAGTCACCGTTTGGGCCCAGAGTATGGAAAAAGGGGCGGGCTGCGGCAGAGCATCTCGTCCACTCTGGGCACCGTCTACATGCCGGCTGTAGAGATGGATGTGGAGACGAATGCGTGAAAGGGCAAACAAAAGGAGGCATTGTTCTCTCGTGCAGGCTGAGCACTAACCGGCTTGAAAATGAAGACCACCAGGTGACGAGCAGGGACCTGGATCAATCACCCTTAGGGGGACACCATAAAAGGCACGCCCACACACGAGAATACAGCTTTGCCTCCGGCCAGACATCGCAGGAAATTCTACCTTCTCTCTCAGCAACCCGTGCCACCGTTTGGTATCCATCACCCTCGGGAAGCTTCTTCCATTTTCCTGCTTTCTCCCAGATTCAGCGGCCCCAGCAGCTCCCAACAACCTCCTCCAGAAGGCTCCACACCTTCTGTCTGCAGTTTAGGGGCCTCATCAGTCATTCTTGCCTCTCCCTGTCCCGGATCTAGGAGATTCGACCACTGGTAAGTCCCTGGGACGAGTCCTCTTCCTGGCCCGCCGGCAGCCGGCTGCCTGCACACGGCAGAGAGCTGGCTCTCTGGTCTCTCTTTAAAATCTCACCACGAGGACCCCACTCTCATGACCTCTTCTAAACCTATCGCCTGTAAAGGCCCCACCTCCAGATAGTATCACACGGGGGGTTAGAGTCAACATATGAAATCGACGGGGGCGGGCACACAGTCCGCCCATAACAGAGGCCCCTTCATCTGGCCCGCTTCCCTACGTCCAGCTAGAAAGGGCTCGGAAGGCGGATGGGGCCGGACTTGGCCCTCCCTGAGCGTTCACTTCTCATAATGCCTTCGTGGTCTGTCTTGCGGACATGCCTTTGTCTTGCCCGGCCCCCGAGACCGCGACCCCCGTTGAGAGAGGAGTCAACACTAAGCGCCAGAATGAGATAGATGGTGGCAAGTGTGCTCACCGGGCACGCGGAGCATGTGCTCACGCCAAACACATTTTCATCCCGTGCCTCTGACGGTCCGGGAGATGGATCTGAATTATTCATACTTTTATCCACAAGAATGTAAAATTCAGAAAAGTTAGGTAACTTGCCCAAGATCACAGCCCCACCAGTGGCGCCTCTGGGATCTGAACGGAGGGATCTACGACCCTCTCCATTCCTTTCTCCCCTGCAGGCAGGGGCTTCCTCTGCGTTACTTACCTTTGTGTCTCTGCTCCCACATCTAGCACCTAGCACGGAGCCTCACATGTTGTATTTGAGTATTTATTAAATAAAAGTTAAGGAATATGCATCCTATATTCACTCCAGATATCTTTTTCTCCACCACAGTTCAGTGGTGTTGAGTACATCTACATTGTTGTGCAACAGATTTCCAGAACTTTTGCATCCTGCAAAACCAAAACTTTATACCCATCGAACAGCTCTCCATTTCCCCCTGCCCCCAGCTCCTGGCAACACCATTCTACTCTGTTTCCAGGAGTTTCACTACTCTACATAGCTCACCTAAGAGGAATCATACAGTTTTTTTTTTGTTTGTTTTTGTTTTTTTTTTTTACCGTGACCATCTTATTTCACTCAGCATAACGTCCTCAAGGTTCATCCACGTACAGCACGTGACAACATTTCCTCCTTTTCCAAGACTGAATAAATTCCACTGCACGCTCCCACAGGTGTCTTTATGCCCTCAAGTTGTCTCCTTAGAACCCCTTTTAATTCAGATTCAATAATATGACAATCACCACTGCCATCTGCTGAACACTCACATTGTGCTAATCGGTCCTTCTCACACCATCCTCAGAGTGCCCCTTGAAGGTCATGATTCTGCTCTGCAGGGGAGAAAACTGAGGCCCAAGGAGGTGAAATGATATATTCAAGGTCACACAGCTTCAAAATGCAGCCATCTAGATGACGCTCTCCCAGGCCCCTCTGACTCTCCAGGCTGCTGTCCACCATTATCTTTCAAGGAGTGACAGGACAGAGAGGGAGCCTGAGGCCCAGACACGAGGTGACAGGACACACTGCCCGTTAGCTGTGTGCCTTTGAACCCTGAGCTCACTACTCCTGCCCACGGCTCTCTGCCCTGTTCAACTGCCTCCCACCTCACCAGGCCATTCCCTGGCTGGGTGAACTGTGCACGTGACTTCTCACTCAGTCCCCAGACTACCACTCACTTCCTCGGGATCATCAAAAGCTCCCACTGACACTCTGTGTACTCTCCTCCTGGGCTCTGCACAGCTGAATCCAGGTGGCGTTAACGCACTGACGTGAGGGCCTCAGGAAGGGGTGTGCGTGCCCCTTCCCACCACCCCACCAGACTGCACCATGGGGATGTGGCCCGGACAATTGAGCAGACACACCCCAGAACTATGTAATTTAACAGCTGGACAGACCCTGAGGGAGCATCTGCCTTAAGATTCTTTTCCAGATGAGAAACTAGGACCCAGAGATGCAAAGTGACTTGTATGGTTAGAGAGCTAATTAATGAAGACCGGGGTCCAGAACCCAGTCTTCTGCCTCCTGGTGCTGAGCTCCATTGAATCAGGATTCTTTAGGATTTCTCTGCATCAGAATTTTGCCTTAAGGCCCTAAGTTGGCAGACACAAAGAACGAGAGGTTAAATCCTACATTCAGTCATTTTGAGAGGATATGAAAGTACTACTTTTTTATTTCTACAGGGAAAAAAAAATATAAAAAGAAATATTGAACAGAAAGAAATGAATAACGAGCAATGCAAATTCTCAATCCTTATCCAGATATTAAATAGCTGGAAGATGAGACAGTGTCTCTCCCCATACTTTTCCCATTCCCACACTGCTTGCTCTGAAGGCTGGCCAGAGAAAATCCAATTCTCTCCAGGATGAAGTGTGAAAATCTAGAGGAGGGTGTTATGTTCGATGACCTAGAAATTCTTCAATAAATTAACTTTATTAAAGGATCACTGGTTCTTTAGTACCTTGAAAATGAAATTACACCTTCTAGAAAACACATATTCACCTCATTTGCAGGTTTGCTATATTGTTATAGCTACCCACATCCCTCTTCCTGCTACAAAGAAAGGAAATCATGCGTTTCAGTAGCATTTTATAGTTTATAAAATACTTGAACACATTACTTTTATTTAAAAATTTTTTAAGGTAAACTTATTTTTGAGACAGACAGACAGAGAGAGAGGGAGAGAGAAGCAGAAAGAGAGGGAGACACTGAATTTGAGGCAGGTTCCAGGCTCCAGGCTAATAGCACAGACCTGACATGGGGCTTGATTCCATGAACCGTGAGATCATGACCTGAGCCCCAATTGAGAGTTGGCTGCTTGACTGAGCTGCCCGCGTGCCCCGTGGGTTCATATTCCAATTAGCTCCCCTTTCACAGGTGAGGCAAGCGAGCCCTAGATAGGGATTCAGTGATCCGCCCAAGGCTGCTCAGTGTGTGAGCAGGAGGGCCGTGGCTCCGGCCAGGGGTTCAGACGCCAGCTCCAGCGTGCTCTTGCTTCGGGTATGCAGGTGTTTGTTTTCCCCGAAATCAAGAGTCTTTATGTCCTTCTGACACCCGCTCCTCAACTGCGGGACACAGCTGTGCAGGGCGGGTGGTCCCTGATAAACCCACAGTGACTAGGTATGAATGTAAGGTAGGGCTAGACCCCTAGCTCATTCCATATACAAAAGTTAACTCAAAATCAGTCGAAGACCTAAATGTAAAAGATAAACCGATAAACCCACAGAACTCTTAGAAGAAAACACATCTTCACGGCCTTCTGTTAGGCAATGTTGTCTTAGATACGGCACCAAAAACACAAGCAACAAAAGAAAACATAAATAAATTGGACACCGTTAAAATTAAAAACTTTTGTGCTTCAAAGAAAAAAGCAAAAATATAGCCCACAGTATGAAGAGAATAGGTGCAAATCATATATGTGTCCCTTGAGTATATAAAGAACTGTATCAACACAATAATGTAAAGACAAATAACTCAATTAAAATACGGGCAAAGAGTTTTAATGTAGATTTTTTTTTTTTTTGCGCCCATGCTGTTGATTGTTAAATGTAATAGTCTGATCATGACGCTGAATAAATGTGTCTTTAAAAAAAAAAAAATACGGGCAAAGATCTAAACAGGCACTCCTCTAAAGGAGAAATTTGTGACAAATGGCCAATAAGGCAAATCAAAACTCCAGTGAGATGCCACTACACACCCACTAGGATCAGCAGAATTAACAGACAGACGATTGTAAGTGCTGGTGAGGAGACGGAAGGACTAGAACCTTTATGTACTGCTAGCGGGGACATACATCTACTTTGGAAACCAGTTTTGCAGGTCCTGAAAGCTTTAAATATAGTGTTAACAGAGGATCTAGCCATCCCACTCCTATGAACACCCCAGAGAGAAATTAAAACTTATGACCACAACACACGCAAAGATGCTCAACATCACTGATCGTCAGGGAAATGCAAATCAAACCACAATGTCCCATCCCCTTATGCTTTTCAGAATGGCTGCTATCCAAAAAGCACAGTAAGTGTTGGCAAAGATATGGAGAAAAAGATCCCTCGTGTGCTGTTGGAGGGAATGGAAATTGGTGCAGCCACTGTGCAAGAGTATGCGGGCTCCTCAAAAAATTAAAAATAGAACTACCACAAATCTAATAATTGCACTACTATTTATCCAAAGAAAACAAAAACACTGATTTGAAAAGATATATGCACCCCTCTGTTTATTGCAGCATTATTTACAATAGCCAAGATATGGAAGTAACCTAAGTGTTCATCAATAGATGAATGGATAAAGATGTGGTCTATACACACACACACACACACACACACACACACACAGAGTGAAATATTAGTCAGCAATAAATAAGGATGAGATCTTGCCATCTGGGAAAATATGGATGGACCGTATTGTGCTGAGTGAAGTAAGTCAGAGAAAGACAAATACCAAATGAATTCACTTACATGGAGAATCTGAAAAAAACAAGACAAACAACAGCAGAAACAGAAACACAAGTACAGAGAATCGGTCGCTGCCAGAGCAGAGCGGGTGGGGAATGGGCAAAAGAGGTGAAGGAAAGTAAGAGGCACAGGCTTCCCATTATAGAAGAAATAAATCACGAGAATAAAAGGCACAGCACACAGAATACAGTCAATGGTATTATAATAGGTTGGGTGATGACAGATGGTAACCACACCTGTGGGGAGCACAGCAGAAGGTAGGGAGTTGTTGAATCACCGTGCTGTACACCCTGAAACTAATTCAACATTACTAATTCAACTGCACTTCAATAGATAAATAGGAAGTCATGCATATTTAGTTTCCAAAACAAACTTATGTCCACAAAAAGTTTGTACACAAATGTTCCTAACAGTATTATTCTTAATAGCCCAAAGGTGGAAAGAGCCCAAATGTCCACCAACTAATGAATAGATACATGAAATGTGGTATATCCATAAAAAGGCATACCATTTTTCTGTTTTATTTTTATTTTTTTAACATTTATTTATTTTTGAGACAGAGAGAGACAGAGAATGAACAGGGGACGGGCAGAGAGAGAGAGGGAGACACAGAATCTGAAACAGGCTCCAGGCTCTGAGGGGTCAGCACAGAGCCCGACGCGGGGCTCGAACTCACGGACCGTGAGATCATGACCTGAGCCGAAGTCAGCCGCTTAACCGACTGAGCCACCCAGGCGCCCCAAGGCATACCATTTTTCAATAAAAAATATGAAGTGCTTATCTATGCTACAAAATGGGTGAATGTTGAAAATATGCAAAGTGAAGGAAGCCAGTCACAAGGACCACATGCTGTATGATTCCATTTACAGAAATGTCCAGAATAGGCAAATCTAGAGAAGAAAGCAGACTGCTAGTTGCCTAGAGCTCAGAGGGCCAGGGAGATTGGGGTGTGAAAGCTAAGCGGTACAGGGTTTCTTCCGGAGTAATGAGAATATTCTAAATCAACTGCATTAAAAAGATGGTTATATAGTTCTGTAAATATACAAAAAGCCATTGAGTTGTACATTTTAAGTGAGTGAAGGGCGTCTGGGTGGCTTGGTCAGTTGAGTGTCTGACTTTGGCTCGGGTCATGACCTCACGGTTCACGAGTGCGAGCCCTGCATCAGGCTTGTGCTTCGGATCTTCCGTGTCCCTCTCTCTCTGCCCCTCCCTCACTCACGCTTTCTCTCAAAAAATAAACATTAAAACAAATAACAAATGAGTGATAATTGTATGCTGTGTGGATTACATCACAATAAAACTCTGTTTGAAAAGCAAAGGTGATGCATGGCCTAGTATGAAGCTACGTTGAGCACTAGTGAAAGCCCCAGTAGCTACGAGTGCGTGGGCAGGCAACTGGCCTGGGCACCAACTTGTCCTTCAACTTCTGAAGCCTGCAGACAGGGCTCCTCCAGGGAACTTTCTAGACCAAAGGAATGTGACACACAGGAATCAAGAAATATTTCCCAGACTATCAGAGGAGGTAGAAAGCTTAGCGATGACCGCTTTTCCATGCAACACCCAGCCGCTGGTGAGATTTGCAGTTCACCAGGGTGGCACAAGCTGTATGCAGGTCCGCTCATCTCTCCCTTGAGATAGGGAGCACCGCCTTCAACCCAGAAGAGATGGACCTGTCTTCTTCCTCTCCAAATGTCCCCGACCCCACCCCCACAATGCCTGCATTGAGCTGCAGAACTGTCATCTGGAGGAAGACGCAGATTCCTGGTGGGTGGCCTGTGGGCCTGGCCCCCCTTCCCTCTGCACCTCAAAAGCCCTGGCCTGGTTTCTCTCACCACAAACAGCAGGATCGACAGCCTCGTCCAAATTCCGCACACCTCTTAACCAAACTTGCACTGATCCCAAGTAAACAGTACTTGAACTTCAGAAGTCTGGGTCCGTACGTGTGTGTGAATGCCACACTGCTCGATATCTTAGCCTGGGCCCGCCCGCAGGTACCGTTTACCTACACAGTTCTGTGCAGTTCTCGACCTTGCAGAGGCTAATGAGTGGTGGGCCTTCACGAGAGAGCTACACGCAGGCGCTCGGACAGCGGACTGGCTAACCTCTAGCTGCTCCAACTACACTGGTGGAGCTCTCCCCTGACAGACGCAGAGCAGGAAACCGCCGTCTGTCATCTGCACCAACGGGAAGGTGGGGCTAAGCATTCGGCTGAGACATCAGTCTGAGAAGTGCTCTGGGACCTCTCAGACCCGCCATCCGTGGCCGTGTCAGGGAAAGCATGTGCCTCAGTAGCATTCTCTCTCGTTTGCTATTCTGCCACGGCAGGGGTCGACTCTGCCCTTAGAGCCTTCTCTCCGAAGAGCCGTTAATAACTTGAAGTTTCCATCAACTACAAACATTCTTGTCACACAGCCCACTTGACTGCATTGCTCACACAAAGGTTGCCAACATTTGGACCGAGTCCGATGGGATTTTTCATTTGGTTGAAGTGGTTTCCAATGTTTTCTTGTTTTCCAGTGACTGAAGGTCAAGTCTGGAGCAGGGGATTGTATTAATAGAGCCCTTGTGAGGCAACTGCTGAAGGGACATATTAACCCATCACTGACCAGAAAACACCGCCAAGCGAGGCTCTGTGGGCGAACAACCTTCACATTGGCTGATTCTGAACAAGGTCAAGGATTATAAGTGTGTGTGTGTGTGCATGCACGCGTGCACGCACGCGTGAAGGAGGAGAATCTTGGCTCACAATTAGGGAGGAGTTTTGAATTGGAAATCTTTCCAGACATCACCCAAGCCAGTGTTAAAGGCATACTTGGTTTCTTCTGTCAGTGACAGACCTGGGTTTCTACAGCTCTCCGCCTTTCTCGCAGGAGGGAAGGAAGGCTTTTGCAAACCACGTGACTGCGTGATTTTCAGGCATATTTTCTAATGAGTGGGTGGATTCGGGGCTTGCTTACCACACGTGGGCGGTTAAGTTTGGAAAAACATACTCTACCCCTGCCTTACTCTGGGATTCTAAGACATCATCAATTTTAAGCCCCTCATTGATTTCCTAGCAGGTTTTATTTTGAGGGGGGAATGGGAGAAACACTGGTTACAGGTATATAATTTTGTTTTTAAATTATAGGAGCCTACATTCTTCTATACAGGCACTTAAGAGACTTTCTTCTTCAATAGTTCAGTTATACATTGTAGCTAGTCATTCTCTGCCTTCAGAGTCTAAAGGTTTTCTGAGTCACTTTGACCTTCAGAAGTTAGGTTCAGTATCACTATGCCTTCTATAAACTCTGCATGATCACGATCTCTTTGCACCTTTAAGATAAACAACATAATTCTGAATCCTATAAAGGAATATTCGCTTAATGTGTCTTCTCTTTTTGTCAAGGTTACAGTTCCACATTTTCCTTAATTGAACACATCACTGGAAGGTGTCCACCTTCCAAGGGTCCTCATAAAGAGGGGATCATCATTCCAAGAACGGTCACTCCATCTTACTCGGAAGTTTCTGTGATCCATTCCTAGAAATCTGGCCATGTCGGTCACCTTTAACTACACTGCCCGGGCTGTGGTAAAATTTTCCTTGACAATGCTACTGCACAACAATCTTTTCTTTTTAAATACATATTTTGGGGCACCTTGGTGGCTCAGTGGGTTAAGTGTCCAACTTTGGCTCAAGGCATGATCTCACTGCTCATGAGTTCAAGTCCTGCGTTGGGCTCTGTGCTGACAGCTGACCGCTCGCAGCTCGGAACCTGCTTCAGATTCTGCCTCAGTCTCTCTGCCCCTCCCTGCTTGTGCTTTTTCTCTTTCAAATATAAATAAACATTAACAATATTTTTAAAAAAACATTATTTTGCTTGGGGACAATTATAGGTTCAATCACAGGAGAGTTGCAAAGATAGCAGAGTTCCCATAAACCATTCTCCAATCACCCCCCTTAAGATTACCAAGGAACACTGGTCAGAACCAAGAGACCAGTGTTGGCATATCGCTACTAAACAAACTGCAGACTTAATTTGGATTTTACTCATCTCTCTACCAATGTCCTCTTTTTGCTCGGGAATCCAATTCAGGGACAACAGTGCATTCAGTTGTTACATGTCCCCAGTCCCCTCTGCTTGGTGGCAGCTTCTCAATCTCTCCTTGCCAATGTGGGAGGGCACCAGCCAAGAACTCTGTACGTTGTGCCTCGACGTGGGGTCTTCTCATATTTATCTCATGTAAATGGGAGTTACGGGTTTTTGGAAAGAATATCAGAGGGGACATGACAGGCTCACGGCATCACTGACGTTGTGAACTTGACCCCTTGGTTAAGGTGGTAACTCACCAGGTGTTTTCACTGCAACCCAACAATCTTTTTATTTTTATTTTTTAACATAACAATTTTTTTCAAAGAGGCAATGGAAGGATCTAAGTTAAAACTTACCCTTGGCAGCCTCTCTGTGTTAATAATTCACCGGAGGGGCCATGAGATGAACAGGCCCCCAGGAAGACGGCTGAGGCTTCACTGGGGACAGGAGGGGACCTGCGCACATCCATACCCTCTGCTGGGGGCCAGGAGGGCTCATTCTGACAGGTGGGAGCGACAGGCAAGGGAAGAGCCGGGCACATGCCCTGCGTGACCCCGAGAGGGAGCGCCTCCTGAAACCCCTGTACCCCACACACCCAGGCCCAGCCCACTTTGGACACGGGTCCTAAGTCTCCAGGTTTAGAAAGAGCAGGTGTAAAAGGATGTGCTCTTTGTTTCCGAATGACATTTACTGTCAGGCCCTTAGGACATCCCACGGTACCTCATTTACCCCACTGTTTCTCAAATCAGCTTGGTCGCAGAACCCTGATTTTCACTTACAAGCCCTTCTTCACCTAAACCCATTCCTGCTCCCCGAGGAAAGAAGGGAGGGAGGGCAGTGGCGAGGGTCCAGCCACTTGGGTTGTGGGCCTGAATCTGCCTCTCGCCCCAGCTGCCTGCTGTGGCTACGTTTCCACATAGAAGAATGCTCTTCAGAGCCACGTTTGTGATGCAGTTAAGTGGCTTTCCCTGACCTCTCACAGACCCCTGCACCCGGGAGGGCTGTGCCTGCACTCGTGTGAGCTGTGGACGGCTGACTCCGTCGCCACGTCGGGGAGTAAACGCCATCTGACAGGCAGTCCCGCACTCCAACACGACCCCCTCGGGACCAGGTCAGGACCGCTCAGGGCTCCGCCATGAAGGAGGGGGCACGGGGGCTCAGCACCCCACTAACCTGCCAGCCGCACACGCGGGCGGCTTTAGTGCAGCGGACTTCTGTCTCTGATACGGGGCTTTCACGTCCCCTGGAGAACACGGTGCTGTCAGGCTGGCAAGAGGAAAATTTAGGAAGCGAACCACAATAGACATCCTAGCCCACCAGACCGCACAGTGGGGAGGAGCCCCGACGCAGCCATCTGCGGGCTGGGAAGATGGCCACACCAGCCGAGTCATCAACCTTTCACCCGCGAGCAAGAGACCGAGGACGGAGAGCCTGATGCCATTTACACACAGGCTCCATCTTGGCTACTGACAAGGTCCTTCAGGACACGAGGCTGGAGTGCCCCGCGCTAAATGGCAGTAGCATTTGGCAGAGAGCACGCACACACAGGTGTGGAGGGCCATCCATCAAATGAAGAGCTCACGAGCGGGAGTTTCTGGGGGCAAATTCCACATGACGAGAATGGGGCCTTTTCAATTACGGGACGAGAAATGCGGATAATAATACCTATTTGTGAGGATATTGTGAAGGATCAAATGAGATAATCTGTCTAAAGCTTTTTAGCCAGTGCCTGGCATAGAGATGATGACTGGCCTACACGAATCCCCTTTCGAACAAGCTTCCTTTTCACGGCAGACTGTTTTGTGGTTCGTACCATATGGCACGGACTGAATTCTGCAGAAGCGTGGTACTCTAATACCCCGGCCTTGGGAAGGCCTCAAGAACAATCTAGTGAGGCAGGAGACCTTTCAAAGCAGTCCCAGGATTCTATGGCACCATCCGGTGAAACACAGACATCAATGTCCTGATGTGAGCCCATGTGGGCAATGCAAATGTTACCCGGGAGGCCACGGTGTCTTCTCTCTGGATGTGGTCAGAGTGGTCTTTCTCCCTCCCTCTCCCGATCTTTCTGCTCTCACGGCTTGTCAGCATTTACACTGCTCATGGGCAAGAATCAAGAGGGCAGCTAACACTTATTTTGCCGTTGTAATCATGTCCACTCTGCTCTGAGTCTGAGAGGTGAGAAAAGTCAACCCCCAGGTGGGTTTCCAGCACAAGTGGGTTGATTTACATGCACAGGTTTCAAGGCTTGAGACGGCCCCCAGACCACTGCTCGGTTGGCGCCTGGTGACAAGACTGTGGTTTTGCCATAGTCTTTGATTCCCTAGAACACGCAAGTGTCCTTGGGAAAGCCAGCTTAATGCCACCCTGCCAGTTGAGATGCCAGTGGGACAGGAGGATCTCAGAGTGCGTTTAGAAGGGGTATAGGGAGACCAGAGCGAGGCCTGGAGCCCCGAGGGTCTGGAGGGGCCACCGCTGTTGGGAGGCAGGAAGGGGTATGAGAAGAATGGCACCAAAATAGAGGGTGGACGCCATAGACCAAGCTTGTACCACAGACTCACCAAGCACAGGATCAATGAAACTGGTTCCAACACTGACCTTCAGGACAAGTGACAGATCTCAGTCCTTCGTCCTGTTCCATTCCTCCCTCTCCCTGAGCACAGCTGCAGGAGGGCCTTCATTAGGCACCAGTTCCCTATTCCCAGTGGTCTGCACCCTCCACGTGTCACCTGGGAGGTGGCTTGGGAGCACAGCCCCTGAGCCCCTGGCACCTGCCTCCTTCCAGCCAGAACCCGGAGCTCTA